TAGACAGCCTTGTTGTTTTATATAATGCTTTAATTAGGTCAAAGCTTGAGTATGCCTCGGTCGTTTGGAATAATCTTACACAGACAGATTCTAATAAATTAGAAAATATTCAAAGAAAATTTGCCAGTTTATGCAATTACCGATTTTTCCAGTTTAATATCCCCCGCAAATATGAACTAATCATATCTACTTTAAATTTTAGAACACTCTATTCCAGACGACAACATCTCGATGCGTTATTTCTTATTAATGTATTTAAGGACAAAATAAATTGCCATTCCGTTATGGACGCTGTTGGTTTACGTGTGCCGGCGAGGCAAATAAGAGAATTTTCTACTTTTAGTGTGAACAGTGCGCTAAGGTATAGTCCTTCAGCGAGGTGCGTCATCGCTGCAAATGACGTATGTAAATCTTTGGACGTATTTAGCGTAAACATTGTCTCCTTTGAGCGAACGTTCTCAACAAGGGAAATGATCTAGATAGGTTGTCTTGTAGATGAACTAGCTTCGTTATCTGTTTTTTATATTCGTTAAAGTTTTACAATTATATTAGTGTTCCCTAGGTGGATTATTTGTTTTTATTTATATTTCTTCATTTTTTGCTCTGTGTTAATATTGTTTCTATTTTGGGATTGCCTGTACTTGGCAGTTACATTTAATACTGTACATGTATAAGTTTAGTTAATCCGTTTGTGTAATATTATCCATTATTCTTTCACTATTATTGTATATATTATCAGTGTTTGCCTGTTATTGGCTTCTTGCTGTTGGCAAACACGTAAATAAATTAATTGAATTGAATTAAATTGAATTTAAGAATTCAGTCCGTAGCACGAATAAAACACGAGAAATATCAACGTGTTAATGCAATTTAAGGAATTAAAACCGGTTTACAGTCAGAACTGATTATCGAAGAAGGTGGGACATATGCTTGCCTGCCATTGTGCTTTTAAGATTTAATTCAATCAAATCTGGTCGAGTGCAGAATCTTATGGTAGTGAATTAAATAAAAATTTCCTTGGATATTATCCATCGTCTAGTAAATATAAAACGTAAAAAACGACGTTTCGGAGATGGGACTCTAGATAGAGCTAATCCCTATCTCCGGACCCGATCTATAGACGTTTCGGTAGGACTCCTTGGACGAGGGATCGGCCCGTCCCAAGGCCTCTACCTGTACACAGAACAGCACAACACAGAAAAACGCAGACAAACATGGCTTGAGAGGGATTCGAACCCACGGTCCCAGCGACCAAGCGGATGTATTAATATGGTGAACCTATTATGCATAAAAACATAAGCCATAGCGCAATAGCTTTGTCTACGACGTTTCGGGAGTTCTGCCACTTTTTCATATTTGCGAATGACTTCAAGATTTACTTAATGTTATCCAATAAACAGTATAAAAATTATTGAGATTCTCTTTTGACACTTTTTCCAACCTATATCCGCTTTATCACTACTAGATTCACGTATCATCCAAGTTCAATGTTTTCAAACACTCTCAATACGTAAAGATGGCTGTCTTCTGGGTTATAGCGCCATGTAGTCATATCCTCGTTGCCTCTATCATCAGGGCGATGAGTAATCGTCTTTATAATGAAGGTTACAAAGACCTCTGAAACGTTCGTAAACTTCTACCACAGTGGTATTCAAACTTTTTTTGTTCGCGTACCCCCAGATATAATTCCTCTTCAACTTTGTACCCCCAAAGTTGTTGGTGTATAATTCAAGTTATACATAATATATAATCTACATCTAAAATAAATTAAATAAATTACATTACTGATTATTCAGTGTTTATCATAAAATAATATATA